GCGCGGTCGCTGCCGCCTCGGGCGCCGCGGTGCCGGGCTCGGTGCAGTTGGCTCTAAGCGTCCTGCACGCCCTGCTCTACGCGGCTCTCTTCGCCTTTGCCTACCTGCAACTGTGGAGGCTGCTCCTATACCGCGAGCGGCGGCTGAGTTACCAGAGCCTCTGCCTCTTCCTCTGTCTCCTGTGGGCAGCGCTCCGGACCACCCTCTTCTCCACCGCCTTCTCGCTCAGCGGCTCCCTGCCCCTGCTCCGGCCGCCCGCTCACCTGCACTTCTTCCCCCACTGGCTGCTCTACTGCTTCCCCTCCTGTCTCCAGTTCTCCACGCTCTGTCTCCTCAACCTCTACCTGGCGGAGGTAAGGCGGGAGGACAGGCATGCGGGGCCGGGAGGGCGAGCGGGGCCGCGCCGTTTAACTCCAGCCGAAGATCGGTGTGTGGCCGAGGCGGGGGCGGGGGTGGCCGTGAGAGGCGGACCCGAGAGCAGACTGGGGAAACTGAGGCACTCCCGGAGTGTGCGCCAGTCTTTCTGCCCTGAACTTTAGCAGGTGATTAACTGAGAGATTGAGGAGCTTGGGGAACACAGTGAATGAGAATGTGTTCTGACAACTTCAAACGGCAGGACACCCCTTTGTTCGGTGTTCTGTCCCCCTAAGGCACCCACAAAGTGGCATCGCAAGAAGTAGCAGCCGGGGTAGCTCTGCCGAAGCTGGACTGTGTTGAGAGAGGTTGGTTGATGCTGAGGTAGCAGCAGCTCTGCTGAGGCTGGATTGCTGCCAGCCATTACGTCACCAGGCAGAGCTGTTCCTCTGCTATTGTTGCTGCGTTTCTTTTATTAGAAGCTTATATTCCCTCCTGCATCTCCTTTCCTGTAGGTTGATAAGCCTCACACGAATTCCGTTCGATAGTTCCCCAGCAGGGTTAATGATCAATAACCCACGCTGAGGGTCAGTGTAAAGACCTCCATCAAGCCCTTAGGTTTCCCCAGTTGCTTGGCGCTCTCGCTATTCATCCTACCTCTTACAGCCTCATCTTTTGGGGGGGCTAATTGAGAAAGAAGATACTAGCTGAAACTGTGTCTATTGCAGAAACAAATCACCAAACTGTGTTTGCAATAACTTGCTTAATAGCTGGAACCTAATCACACCCCCTTTCTCTTTTTTGAGGAATTGCTAGTTGGATTGCATTGTTCTGCAGCCGCTTAGGTGTTTGACCCATTTCAGACAGGTTTGGGAGTGTAAGGTTGTCAATCATGTATGTCAGTTCGTGATATTTAAGCCATAGAATTTTGAGAATTTTCCCCAAAAGTCTCTCCACCCCACCCCCCGCAGGGGAAAAAAAAGAAAAGCTTGAGGAGGGGAAGAAACAAGGTGACATCATATGCCTAATACTGACTAAGATAGAACAATATTGGTGTATGCAGCTAATCCTCTCAAGCTTTTGGGGCGGATGAGAATTAACATAGTTCCGAGCAAAAGTGAAAAACGCTTCAGGCAGATGAAGTGTTTATATTTCCTGGGTAAAAACCACTCTTTTCTCCCTTGATAGATAGAAAGTATAATGCATAATTTTAAATCGTAGTCATAACTTCGGCTATTTTAGCACACTAAAAACAACAGTTGAAAACAAGTAACAAAACTAATTTAACTAATTCTTTTCCTTCCCCATCCTTTACATGTCCAAGCAATACAATGACAAAAACCCAAACAGCAAGAAGAAACAAAAAGCGTGGTAATCATAAATAATCGTGCCATAGTCATGACTCTTAACTGAACCGTGTTCTGATCTTCTAGTTGTTGTTTAAACTGTCATTACACGTCCATCCAGTTAAACTGATACATTGTATTCTGCCAACAGGATTTCTGTCCTCAATTGAAGCTCTAGCTTCAGATAGACTTAATTCAGATGTTGCTGAATGTGATTAGCAGTCTTTATATGACAAGCTTGGGATGTTTTCCCCTATACATTTTGATTTATAAATTATATTAATGATTCACTATAACATGGGTGGTGGACATTTCAAAAAGTGACTAAATGCTCTTTTTATTTTTTTCTAAAGATATAATATACCACCAAGTGCACAAATATTCAATGTACAGCTAGGTGAGATTTCACATATGCATACACTCATGTTAACACCAGATTATGATAAGTGTCTAGGAAGGTTCCCTTGCTCCCTCTCCCTGTCAGTACCTCTCTCCCTGAGGTCAACATAAGTAGCTAAATGCTATCATAATAGCATAATGATAATAGGAAAAAGACATTTAAGTTAAAAATTCTGAAAGTATGCTTCTGCAGAATAAAATACACAATGTCTGTATTGTGTTTTCAGACTTTGATTGCTGATAGTCCAAGCTGATAAGGAAGAATTTAAAGGTCTTCTTGCTAAGTGAATCTCTTATTTGTGTGATATACTTTTTTAAAAGCAGTAAAACTCTGAATGTAGAAAATATAATTTGGAAATAATCTGGGAATAAGGGAAATAAACTTTTCCCTTTTGTAGTGACTCCTAAAAAGGTTATGTGTCTACACCTATCTTTTATAATCAAATTAATAATTTTAAAAGGCATAAGTGTATATCAAATACAAATTTTGGGTCTGTTTAAAAAGAGATATCTTTATATATCTTATATATTACATCAGTCTTCATTTTGTGCATTTTATCCTCTTGGTTGTGATCCCTGTGGACTTCCCACCACCAATTCACCCATGTGCCATCACCATGGGCTCAGGCTCATGCACTCTTCCCAACCCACGTTTAGTCTAATTCCACTCTCCACCCCAGGAAAATGTTGTTCGTTTTTACTCTTATTACAATTGCTTTTTTCACCCTGATCCCTTATGTTCCTGCTATGAGTGAAACCATCCAGTATTTTCCTTAAAAACATATATTTCAACTAGAAATCATTTTACTATTAATTAGGGAAATCAGATGACTGTTTAACACACTCAAATTCAAACTTCTATATCAATTTCAAGTAACCTGGATGTATGTGTCCTATCCAGGCATTCTAAATTAATGAAACTTTCTCAGTGAGCTATTAGTTTAATAGTAATGGTAGAGAAAAATCTATGGTGACAAATACAAAACTTAATTGACATTCCTTTTTTTTAAGCAAAATTTCCTTTATTTTTTTCTGGATAGTTGTATTTATTAATTACCAAATCATGCCATCTTTGTGCTTAAGTAAAGTACATTTTTTACTTGTATTTTCATATTACCAATTCAATTTTACTTTCACTCTCTTTAAAACATTTGTCATATCCATTTCTTACTAATTGAAAGCATTCTAACTTTAAGCATGAACTGTAAAAGAACAATAGAGCACTATAAAGCGAAATAAGTAAAACAGCCATTACCACTATGAAAACATTTTGATGGATTTTCTAAAACTCACTAAGTTTTCAGAAGGTGAAAACTGCCTAAACCACACTTCTTGACCATACTGAGTAGAATTGAGATAAGAGGAATAGCCCTTTCTGAAATTACTGGGCTTTTCAACTTAATACTTTACCTCCTGGAAGCAGATAATTGAAGAAACCTATAATCCTGTACACTGATGTAAAAACACCTATTGAACTTTTCCACAATGATCTATAGATCATGTACATTACCATAGAGGATTTATACTCCTGTAATAAAAATCATTATGGAAAGAATTCAGTATTTAAAACATTATATTGCCGATGTAGTCATGTCTCCTATGACATCACTGATACCACTGTCACAAAGTGGTTTGCCTCTGTTTCCATCTGTGTGTTTTTATGATCTCAGGTCTTAACATTTCTAATCTATACATTTAGAATTTTTGTGTAGTATGTGAGATAGTGGTCTCAGTTCATTCCTTTGTATGTATCTGTCCAGTTTTCCCAACCCCATTTGTTAAATATACTTTCCTTTCTCCACTGACCTTGTTTGGCACCTTTGTCTTAAGTTAACTGTCCATATAAATATGGGTTTGTTTCTGACCTCTAGTTTTCTTTTACCATTACCAGGAAAGCAAGCAAAAATAAATAGGGCTACATCAAGTTTTAAAGCTTCCATTCACAATGAAATAAAACTATCATTAAAACAAAGACACTCTACCAAATGGGAGGGTACACATCATATATCCAACAATGAGCTAGTACCCAGAATCTATATGAACTCATACAATTCAACAACAAGAAATCACCCAATCAAAAAATGGACACAGAGCTAAATAGACACTTTACCAAAGAAGACATGCAGATAACCAACAAGTATACCATCACCAGAGAAATGCAAATTAAAACCAAGTGAGATACCCTTCACACCTGTGAGAATGGTCCATATCAAAACAAGAAACAACTAGTGTTGGCAAAGATATGGAGAAAACAGGAGACCTGGTCTATGGTTCATGGGAATGTGGACTAGTCCTGCCTCTACAGAAAAACAGTATGAAGGTTTCTCAAAACATTCAAAGATACATCTATCATAGGATCCCACAATCTCTTTCCTAGATATATACCAAAATAATATAAAAACACTAATTTAAAGGGGCATATGCACTCATTGTTATAGAAGGCAAGCTATGGAAACAACCTAGTATCCAGTGACAGATGAATGGATAAAGAAAATACAGGATATATACCAAATGGAATACTACACGCTACAAACTAAAATAGATGAAATCTTGCCATTTGTAACAGTATGGATAGAAATGGGGAAGATTATGCTAAGTGAAATAAGTCAAAAGAGAAAAGACAAATGCCAGATTTCACTCATATGGGATACAGAAAACAAAACAGACAAAAATGAAACAAAACAAATTTTTAAATCTGAAGTGACACTGTCAGAAGGAGAGTGGGAGCAAAGAGGGTAGAATATCCTGTGGACTAAAGTGAAGGGGGCTTTGGTGGTAGGCTTGGTGTGGTAACATACATTTCTAGAGATGTGAACTATACCCCCAAAAAATGTGCAATGTTATAAACTAACATTACTTCAAAAACATTAGTTTAGAATATAAAAGCTATAAATAAGTCAGTAAGACATTGTTTAATAAAAGAGATGCTATCTTCCATTGGAACAAGAGAAGGACTTAAAATGAGAGTTATAGTATACTATCTGAAATGTTGTGATGCATGCCAAAATCAATGAATTCATCTTTGAAATCATATTGACACTTTTTTCTTGCAATTTTGTAACATGAGTGCCAGTTGCTTAATTGGGATAAAATACAATGAGTTAGTTACAGCACCAAAATAGTTAGGAAATTTTTAATTCAGAATCTTACCTCTTATATTCATGGATGCTATCATAATCCCTGACAACAGATACATTCTTCCAAATATTGATGACATTTCATATAACCTACAGGTAATTTGGATTTGTTATAGG